ATAATATTGTTTTTTGGAACTTTTAGAAAAGGGGGTGAGGGGGGTGAATCAAGGCTTGTTGATGCTGCAACTAAAACCTTCTCTGGTATAATTGCTTATTTCTGGAAATTTAATTTAATAAAGTGGATTATAATTGGAGAATTAAAGCTGATTTCTTTTATGTATTATATTCAAGATCTTGCAAAAGAACTTCTTGAAATGTTTACAAGTAAAATGATGAAAGTATTTTTCACAAATAGTAGCTCAGAAGTTAATGACTCTCAGGTTTACTTATGGTGTAAGTTAATTCATAATATTATAAATCATAGTTCTCACAACCATTTAGTATTTTCTAGGTGAAACTGGTATGGTATTATAACAACGCATTTGGAAGGCTAAACAAAAAGAAATTTATTGCTAGATCTTCCAGGTTTCCTTTTTTTCTATTAATTTATCATTTTATTTACTTTTTTAATATGCTTAATCGTTTATGAGTTGGATAAACTAAATCGGTGAAACCGAGGAGCAGTTTTCAACGAGATTAACAGCAAATTTGGAAATCCAAGTGTCGAAGAGGGACTAGAAAAAGGTAATTTTAAAAGATATATTTGTTGTTGCTATTGGTAAAAAATTCATATGAATATATCTTGGTAGTGTAAAAGATGAAGCTGACATTAGAGGCCATATGAGGACATACATTGGAAGCATGTCAAGTCGCCTCATTGATGGATTAAATGATTAAAGGTGATTTTTTTATATATTTTTTATGTGTATATGACATTTGAAGTGTCAAATAAACTAACTTTTATAGATTCATGCCACCATGTTTACACGACAAAATCATTTGCTTGACTTGCTCACAAAGAGGTATTCTTCTATTTTGACTAATATTATCGTCTTATTTTGTATTTAATCATTTTAAGTCATTTACTCTTTGCTTTGCTTTAAACCATGTTATACTATTGTCTCACATTCAAAGTAACAGCAACATACTTTGAAAGTAGGTTGCTATACTTTGAAAGTATAACAACATACTTTCAAAGTATGTTGCTATTACTTTGAAAGTGGGACAAAAATAGTAGAACAAAAAATTGTCATGTTTTTTTATGTTGCTATAATGCAGGCTTCCATACAAGCCATTGCAAGTGATTCCTCAAGTATCCAAGGATCTGTAGATGATTATTCCGTTGTTTAGCCGTATCTGACATTTACTTAGATATTTAATTCAAAAAGTTTAAAAATCTTAATGAAAAACAGTGGAACTTTTATGATTTTCTATGTGCTATAATTTAATTATTTAATCTTTATATTATAGATTATAGATAAAAAATTATGTAGATATAAGTAGCTTAAATTATAGAATCTAATGAGAATTTACCAGCACAAAATATTTTATTGTATTGTGGAAAAAAAAAGTCTCTAAAATCTCAAAATATGTAACTAAAAGTAGCATAAATTTTTTAATCACATGAGCTTTTAATGGCACAAAGTATGTGCCACAAAAAACATTCTTTCTATTGTGACAAATAAAAAGTGTCACTGAAAGCTTAAAAAACAGCAGCGACAAAAGCAAAAAGTGTCACTAAAAGGTTTTAGTGGGAGCGTTTCTAGTGACACTTATTATGTGTGTCGTGGATTACGTGAAACTTTTAGTGACATTTTTTGGGGGTTTTAGTGGCTCTTTTTGTGTTCCACTAAATGACATATTTTTTGTAGTGATAATTTTACAATGATAAAACTACTATACTTTTAAGGAAAATATTCAGAAAAATCTCATTATTTTAGAAAAATTAATATGACATTCGTAATTTTTAGAACCAAAAAAAACCATTTACGCTCTAAAATTATGATATATTTTTATTGTGGATATTCCCAGTACATTAAAACAACTTTGAGTAGACGTCTCAAAATAATAAAAATCTAATGATATCATAATCAATACATAACATAAGTTACAGTGTAAAGACCTAATGGTCCTGAACACTATTGCAGATCTTCTCTTCAATCACTTTGCACCCTACTCAAGTCTTCAGCAGTCTAAATACCGCTACATGTGATGCATATAAAATGAGTGGGTCAGGTTGGAAAACCTAGTGACATACATAAGATTTTCAATCCCACAATGTTTTAATAATTTATAAACCTGCAAAACCAAATATCATCAACATCACACACACACACACACACACACACACATATAT